ATTAGATCTACTCACTTCTGCACAACTATGATAGAAGTTCTTGTAAGAAATCAAAAATACAAACTCTCCAATAAGAAATAGAAGTTCAGTCCAACATTGTTTTATGGGATTTTTACCCATCATTTGAAGTGTAAAAAATTCAATAATATTCTAACCTGATACCTGTTATAAAGGCCGAGAGTTTGCTTAGGGAATAGTAAGAAGGGAGGGGTCTATCCTAAGATTAGACTAACTAGCCCCAACATACAGGGATACTGAATTATACCATTAACAAATATAGAAATATCAAGTTTAGTTACACTGAATTGCCACTACATGTCAGCACCAAGATATTATTCTCTACATAAGGCAATCCTAGGTAACAGTAATGGATACACTGAATGGGAATAATTCCTTCTTTACTCCTTTCAATCCAGCCTGTCAGCTCCTTTCCTTTCAGAAAGCCCGAATTGTTGTCATTGGTGATGTCATTCATGTTTGTCAATGAAGCAGCGCTCCGGGCAGTTTGGATACAAGTTTCAATGGAAACAGAAAAGAGAATGCTGACTTGCCTCCTCCCCCTACATAACACTTTACTGAGCATGACTGCTGTGGAGTTCAGGTGGCGCTCCCTTGGTTCCAGCTCAATCTGCTATGAGTTCTGAATCCGGCCAAGCCAGGCCATTTCATGTGGCCCTCTCACCTCTCGCAGCTGTGGCACCCCAATAGTCTCCACCCCCATCTTGTCTTAGCAGTCGGCAGCAGAAAGGACAGAAACTCTTATGCCACATGTGCTTCTCCATGCAACCACTGAGAGGCTCATCTCTGAAACACCCCACTCCCATGTATATCAGCAGTCAACAGCAGAGTGGAGGACAGAACTCCTCCTACAGATCCTGTGCCTCAGTGTGCAGCTGCAGCACCCCCTCATCTCTGCCTTCCCTGATCTCAGCATTCAGTATACTCCGGCAGCTGACGCCAGCCCTCCTCTGGTCCTCCTCCAGAGCCCCAGTTTCTGCTTGCCAGCTCTGCCCTTGACATCTGACGTAATGGGAGGGCCGGGGTGATCTGGACATCTAGTCTTACAGATACAACTGGCCCTTTCAGGGCAACCTTAATGCTGATGATGAAATTGAGTTTTATGTCCCTGGCCTATAGTTTACTCTTTTTTTCTCTTTTGGTCAAATGCTCTCTAACCCTTGCTGTTAAATGTTTTAAGACTTTTTTTTCTGTTAGAATTGAATGTTAGGAAATGTTGCATTTGCCCTGCAAAAGGCAATAGAAACTGACATTTTAATCATATTACAGACAATTATGGGGTTGATTTACTAAAACTGGATAGTAAAAAAAAATCTGGTCCAACTCTGCATAGAAATCAATCAGCTTCCAGCTTTTTTTTGTCAAAGCTTAATTGAAAAAGCTGAAGTTTGAAGCTGATTGGCTACCATGCACAGCTGCACCAGATTTTGCATGCTCCACTTTTAGTAAATCAACCTCTATGGGTATATTCTTGACTTCGTGTAAATGCTGAGACAGTCATAAAATTTAGACCACTAATCATTATTGCTCTTCACGATTCCCCAATGCAGACTGTGGGAGTAGTCACATTACCAATATGATTATACAGTACATGATGTCCTGATTGGCCTATTCCACAATCAGCTAACAGAAACTGTTTCAGGTTTCATGACACATAACAGATCTCATCAGAGTTTTATGGTTCTTGAAGCTACAATGAAGTATGAAAGAAATGATATACCGATACCTTTTTCTCGCATTACAAGCTAAAGCATTGAAACCTATTGCCAGTATTAGTCTGCTGAATTTTGTATTTGGGGTGAAAAGTCCACTTAAAGTTTACAAATCCCATCCAAAGGGCTCTCATCTAAAAAAGAATACAAATCTGTAGAAAATAAATGCAGCTGAAATGAATAGAAAAATCACACATAAGTGGTCTCAACCAACTGCTGATACCTTGTGAGTACAATATAGAGGGCACAGGGCTGGTTTCTCTGCTATCTGCACCTGGTATGGTTAATGAGTCTCATTATGCAGTATAACATAGTGAAACCTGCTAGTCATAATGACATCTAAAAAAAAACATTCATGGTTCAGGTTATGCAGGATTTTTGCTTACCTTCATTCTGATAACACAAGCTTGCTTTCTACGCTTTGCTTTATTCTCTATTTATTAATTTGAAAAAATATACATACAAAAAGCTACAAAAAACACACCAATTCACTAACAAAGCATACATGACAGAGTAAATTTGTATGGTCATACTCATTATCCTTACAAACCAAAGTACAAGCTGACCATTGCAAGCCTAAAGACAAACACAAGACATAATCAAAGCCCTGAGAGAGGGACAAAAAATAAAAGAACACATGAACAAATACTAGGAAAAGAATCAAAGGGAAAGGGAGGAAGGGAAGAATAAAAAAAAAAAGAAAAAAATATAAGAAAGGAGGCGGCAGAACCCCACTGATGTGCTAGCATAACTAAGCCTAACATGGTGTTACTGTACCAAAAGAAATTCAAGAAAAACAAAAAATCCACTTAAATCTGCAACACACACAGATACAAATGAAAAGATACACAAATAAACAACAGGGATCGTAGAGGGCTACCTATAACACCAAAAGTGACTATAAGATCAAGGTAATAGAACCTCTGTCAAATACAAGTCTATATGTTTAAAGTGGAGCCAGTCTATTGACAAAACCCAACAAATTGCCAATTATTATGAGCAACTGTATTCCTCTAAATCTCAATACGATGTCAAGAGTTTGCAATCCTTTCTTGAAGGTATTTGTTTCCCTACCCTATCATCTCACTCTAGACTAACATTAGATGCCTCTAATACATTAGAGTAAAGGAAATTCAATTGGCTATAGCCTCTTTACAATCTATGAAGACACCCGGGGTCAATGGTCTCCTTTCTGAATTTTTAATATGTATATAGATGCACTTGCTCCTCAAATGTACTGTATATGTTGCAAGCTACCCTGGAAGCTTCCTGCCTCCTGTTCCTTTTATAAAACCTTTTCACTTTTGAATGTTGATGCTAAAATCCTTTCTAAAGTTCTAGCAACCTGATTGAATACTGTTATTCTGACTCTGATTCATGGAGACCAATCTGGTTTTATGCCAGGTTAGGGCACATACATAAACTTAGGTATATTATTCACCAATATAGTGCACCCACAGAGGGTGGAAAACCCTGGAGTGGTGGCCTCTCTAGATGCTGAGAAAGCTTTTGACCCAAGTCAAGTGGGAGTTTTTGTAGATGGTTCTACACAAATTTTGATTCGGAGTCTGGAGTAACGGTGTTTATCCTCTCCTTTCCTTGATGGATTAGGAGGCAAGGCTGCTTCCTGCCACCAGGGCTTTTTGCCCTTGCTATAGAACCATTGGCTATTCTGTTACACTCTTTTTTACTATGGTACAGGGCATAATGGTTGGGTCTGTAGTATTTATAGATGCTGTCAGGAATGGACTGGCCAGCTATGGTGGGACTCACCTGCCTTTTGATCTGCAGTACTAGGGCTGGCCAGCGGGTGTTCCCAGCAATCAGAGACTCAACTTTGCAGCCAGCTAACACCTGTAACTGATTATGCTGGGGTATTTAAGGGATGGCCAGACCCACCAGACTCTCTGCCTTGGTGTGTGTTTGTCCTGGGCCCTGTATCCTGTTTCTGTCCTGCATCCTGTTTCTGAACCGCTGCTGACTTCTCCTGCTCTGATCCCGGCTCGCTCCTGACCATCCCTCTGTCTGACCCTCTGTACCACGCTGCTTGCTACCTGTTCTGATCCCTGGCTTGTGACCCTGACCAATCTCCGCTTGCTCCCCCTGTACCTACCTGCCCTATTGATATATTGACCCGGCCTGCGTGATGACCCTTGCTTGTATGTACTGTTATCTGTGGGTGGTTTGGTTTGTTTGCACTGTATTATGTTTTAGTATTGCACTGCGTTTATGTTTGTATTGTTAGTGTTAATAATTATATTGTTTATAACATATCTGAGGTCTGCGTTTCCCTGCGTCAGTCACACATCTCTGGTCACACCTGGGAGCCCTGACATTACACCAAGGCCAATCCTGACCAGAAGTGGCTGCACAGGGAAGCCATCTTGGCTTGTTGATGGGAAGGATGGATCTGGATGAGGTTGAGTATTTTATCTCTGCTAGTGCTTGATGACAGAGAGTATGCTTTATCAGACTCTGAAGGAGTATCCCCGGGGTGAACTGCTAGAATGTATACGGCTCGCTCATGTTCTAGTAGATCAGGGCACAGATTTCTCTATGGTGCAGCCATTGATTCAGGTTTGTGTTGAGGTTGGTTTCATCTGGTTCCCCCGAATGCAGGGACGAATTTTTGCCACCATTTTAGTGCAGGACCAGGTTGAGTCCCTGGTGTGGTTATTAGAGGATGATGTGGGTTACTTTCTGGAGCGTTATTCCACATGTTCACCACAGACACTTAAGAGATTGTATAAACGCAGTGCAGTCATTGACCAGACAGGCTTTGTGTAAGCTCAGCTTTGTTCAACCCTACTGCAGACATGGACAGACTTGTGCACCCAGCCTCAGTCAGCTTACAAAGACCCAGTCCTGCTTCTAACTCTACTCCTGTTGATTCCCACCAGCTCCTCCAGTTACAGCCCAGTATACTTGGCTATCTACCGCATGTCAGTACCCTGTTCCCACTCGCTGCACACTATCCTACCTTTAACCCTGTAAAAAAGCCCTCTGTAGCAACTGCTCCCTCTCCTGTTCCTTCCTCCAGTTTTTCTCTGTCTCCAGCTGCTCCATTCGTTTGCAGACCTGCGTTTACCCTTGCAGTGCTCCAGTAGTTAAAAACCAGAAAAAAGCGAAAATTCTTTCCAACCAATACCATCCTGCCAGTATCCAAACCGGTGAACCTGCCTTCCGTGACTCAGCCTGAAGCCTCTACTCAGCCGGATGCCTCTCCTCAGCCTGAAGCCTCTCCTCAGCCTGAAGCCTCTCCTCAGCCTGAAGCCTCTCCTCAGCCTGATGCCACTACTCAGCATGATGAACTGATCCAGCCCGACGATCCTATTAGGCCAGTTGACTCGATGCCCGCTGTTGATCCAGATGATCCGGTACCTGATCCAGTGCCCGCTGTCGTGCCAATTGTACGTCAGAGCCCGCTGTCATACCTGGTGACCCGGTGCCCACTGCCTTGCCAGATGACGCGGTGCCCGCTGGCAAGCCAAATGACCTGATGCCTGGTGACCCAGTGCCCGCTGTCATACCTGGTGACCCGATGCCGCTGTCGAGCCAGACAATCCGATACCTGATGACCCGGTGCCCACTGTCGTGCACTGTTGACTCGGAGCCCACTGTCTTGCCAGACGACTCGGTGCCCCGCAGTTCTTGCCAGACGACTCGGTGCCCGCAGCCTTGCCAGACGACTCGGTGCCCGCAGTCCCGCCAGTTGACTCGATGCCCGCTGTTCCGCCATGTTGACTCGGTGCCCGCAGTCTTGCAGACGACTCGGTGCCGCAGTCTTGCCAGACGACTCGGTGCCCGCAGTCTTGCCAGACGACTCAGTGCCCGCTGTTCCCATGCCAGTTGACTCGATGCCCGCAGTCTTGCCAGTTGACTCGATGCCCCGCAGTCTTGCCAGACGACTCGGTGCCCGCAGTCTTGCCAGACGACTCGGTGCCCGCAGTCTTGCCAGACGACTCGGTGCCCGCAGTCTTGCCAGACGACTCGGTGCCCGCAGTCTTGCCAGACGACTCGGTGCCTGCTGTTCCGCCAGTTGACTCGATGCCCGCTGTTCCGCCAGTTGACTCGGTGCCCGCAGTCTTGCCAGACGACTCGGTGCCCGCAGTCTTGCCAGACGACATCGGTGCCCGCAGTCTTGCCAGACGACTCGGTGCCCGCAGTCTTGCCAGACGACTCGGTGCCCGCAGCCTTGCCAGACGACTCGGTGCCCGCAGCCTTGCCAGACGACTCGGTGCCCGCAGTCTTGCCAGACGACTCGGTGCCCGCAGTCTTGCCAGACGACTCGGTGCCCGCAGTCTTGCCAGACGACTCGGTGCCCGCAGTCTTGCCAGACGACTCGGTGCCGCAGTCTTGCCAGATGACTCGGTGCCTGCTGTTCCGCCAGTTGACTCGATGCCCGCTGTTCCGCCAGATGACGGTGCCCGCAGTCTTGCCAGACGACTCGGTGCCCGCAGTCTTGCCAGGCGACTCGGTGCCTGCTGTTCCGCCAGTTGACTCGATGCCCGCTGTTCCGCCAGTTGACTCGGTGCCCGCAGTCTTGCCAGACGACTCGGTGCCCGCAGTCTTGCCAGACGACTCGGTGCCCGCAGTCTTGCCAGACGACTCGGTGCCCGCAGTCTTGCCAGACGACTCGGTGCCCGCAGTCTTGCCAGACGACTCGGTGCCCGCAATCTTGCCAGACGACTCGGTGCCCGCAGTCTTGCCAGGCGACTCGGTGCCCGCAGTCTTGCCAGGCGACTCGGTGCCCGCAGTCTTGCCAGGCGACTCGGTGCCCGCAGTCTTGCCAGATGACTCGGTGCCCGCAGTCTCTTGCCAGGCGACTCGGTGCCTGCTGTTCCGCCAGTTGACTCGATGCCCGCTGTTCCGCCAGTTGACTCGGTGCCCGCCCGCAGTCGGTGCCCGCAGTCTTGCCAGACGACTCGGTGCCCGCAGCCTTGCCAGACGACTCGGTGCCCGCAGCCTTGCCAGACGACTCGGTGCCCGCAGTCTTGCCAGACGACTCGGTGCCCGCAGTCTTGCCAGACGACTCGGTGCCCGCAGTCTTGCAGACGACTCGGTGCCCGCAGTCTTGCCAGACGACTCGGTGCCCGCAGTCTTGCCAGATGACTCGGGTGCCTGCTGTTCCGCCAGTTGACTCGATGCCCGCTGTTCCGCCAGATGACGCTCGGTGCCCGCAGTCTTGCCAGACGACTCGGTGCCCGCAGTCTTGCCAGGCGACTCGGTGCCTGCTGTTCCGCCAGTTGACTCGATGCCCGCTGTTCCGCCAGTTGACTCGGTGCCCGCAGTCTTGCCAGACGACTCGGTGCCCGCAGTCTTGCCAGACGACTCGGTGCCCGCAGTCTTGCCAGACGACTCGGTGCCCGCAGTCTTGCCAGACGACTCGGTGCCCGCAGTCTTGCCAGACGACTCGGTGCCCGCAATCTTGCCAGGTGCCCGCAGTCTTGCCAGGCGACTCGGTGCCCGCAGTCTTGCCAGGCGACTCGGTGCCCGCAGTCTTGCCAGGCGACTCGGTGCCCGCAGTCTTGCCAGATGACTCGGTGCCCGCAGTCTTGCCACTCGGTGCTGCTGTTCCGCCAGTTGACTCGATGCCGCTGTTCCGCCAGTTGACTCGGTGCCCGCAGTCTTGCCAGACGACTCGGTGCCCGCAGTCTTGCCAGACGACTCGGTGCCCGCAGCCTTGCCAGAACGACTCGGTGCCCGCAGTCTTGCCAGATGACTCGGTGCCCGCAGTCTTGCCAGGCGACTCGGTGCTGCTGTTCCGCCAGTTGACTCGATGCTGTTCCGCCAGTTGACTCGGTGCCCGCAGTCCCGCCAGTTGACTCGATGCCCGCTGTTCCGCCAGTTGACTCGGTGCCCGCAGTCTTGCCAGACGACTCGGTGCCCGCTGTTCCGCCAGTCGACTCGGTGCCCGCTGTTCCGCCAGTCGACTCGGTGCCCGCAGTCTTGCCAGACGACTCGGTGCCCGCAGTCTTGCCAGACGACTCGGTGCCCGCAGTCTTGCCAGACGACTCGGTGCCCGCAGTCTTGCCAGACGACTCGGTGCCCGCTGTTCCGCCAGTTGACTCGATGCCCGCTGTTCCGCCAGTTGACTCGGTGCCCGCAGTCTTGCCAGGCGACTCGGTGCCCGCTGCAGTCTTGCCAGGCGACTCGGTGCCCGCTGCAGTCTTGCCAGGCGACTCGGTGCCCGCAGTCTTGCCAGATGACTCGGTGCCCGCAGTCTTGCCAGGCGACTCGGTGCCTGCTGTTCCCAGTTGACTCGATGCCCGCTGTTCCGCCAGTTGACTCGGTGCCCGCAGTCTTGCCAGACGACTCGGTGCCCGCAGTCTTGCCAGACGACTCGGTGCCCGCAGCCTTGCCAGACGACTCGGTGCCCGCAGCCTTGCCAGACGACTCGGTGCCCGCAGTCCCGCCAGTTGACTCGATGCCCGCTGTTCCGCCAGTTGACTCGGTGCCCGCAGTCTTGCCAGACGACTCGGTGCCCGCTGTTCCCGCCAGTCGACTCGGTGCCCGCTGTTCCGCCAGTCGACTCGGTGCCCGCAGTCTTGCCAGACGACTCGGTGCCCCGCGTCTTGCCAGACGACTCGGTGCCCGCAGTCTTGCCAGACGACTCGGTGCCCGCAGTCTTGCCAGACGACTCGGTGCCGCTGTTCCGCAGTTGACTCGATGCCCGCTGTTCCGCCAGTTGACTCGGTGCCTGCAGTTTGCCAGACGACTCGGTGCCCACTGTCGTGCCTGGTGACTCGGTGCCCGCCGCTTCGTCTGGGGGCCCGAGACCTGTTGCTCCGCCTGAGGGCCCGAGACTTGTCGCTCCATCTGGGGGTCCGGCTCCCGCCGCTCCGCCTGAGGGCCCGAGACCTGTAGCTCCGCCTGGGGGTCCGGCGCCCGCCGCTCCGCATGGGGGTCCGGCGCCCGCCGCTCCGCCTGGGGGCCCGATGCTTGTCGCCCCGCCTGGGGGCCCGATGCCTGTCGCCCCGCCTGGGGGTCCGATGCCTGTCGCCCCGCCTGGGGGTCCGATGCCTGTCGCCCCGCCTGGGGGTCCGATGCCTGTCGCCCCGCCTAAGGGCCCGAGACCTGTAGTTCCGCCTGAGGGTCCGGCGCCCGCCGCTCCGCCTGGGGGCCCGAGGCCTTTCGCCCCGCCCGGGGGCCCGGTGCCTGTCGCCCCGCCCGGGGGCCCGGTGCTGTCGCTCCGCCCGGTGGCCCGCTGCCTGCTGCTTCGCCTGGTAGCCCGATGTGCCTCTGCCCGGGGTCCTGCCCAATGTGCCTCTGCCCGGGGTCCTGCCCGAGATGTGCCTCTGCCCGGGGTCCTGCCCGATGTGCCTCTGCTGCCCGGAGTCCTGCCCGATGTGCCTCTGCCCGGAGTCCTGCCCGATGTGCCTCTGCCCGGAGTCCTGCCCGATGTGCCTCTGCCCGGAGTCCGGCCCGATGTGCCTCTGCCCGGAGTCCGGCCCGATGTGCCTCTGCCCGGAGTCCGGCCCGATGTGCCTCTGCCCGATGTGCCTCTGCCCGGAGTCCGGCCCGATGTGCCTCTGCCCGGAGTCCGGCCCGGTGTGCCTCTGCCCGGTGTGCCTCTGCCCGGTGTGCCTCTGCCCGGAGTCCAGCCCGATGTGCCTCTGCCCGGAGTCCAGCCCGATGTGCCGCTGCCCGGAGTCCTGCCCGGTGTGCCAGTCTTTGATATCCCGCCAGTTACCAGACCCGGGCGGTGGAACATTTTTCCCAGCTAGGACTGTTTGGAGCATCCTGAGGCCGCTCCTTGGGGGGGGGCACTGTCAGGAATGGACTGGCCAGCTATGGTGGGACTCACCTGCCTTTTGATCTGCAGTACTAGGGCTGGCCAGCGGGTGTTCCCAGCAATCAGAGACTCAACTTTGCAGCCAGCTAACACCTGTAACTGATTATGCTGGGGTATTTAAGGGATGGCCAGACCCACAGACTCTGCCTTGGTGTGTGTTTGTCCTGGGCCCTGTATCCTGTTTCTGTCCTGCATCCTGTTTCTGAACCGCTGCTGACTTCTCCTGCTCTGATCCCGGCTCGCTCCTGACCATCCCTCTGTCTGACCCTCTGTACCACGCTGCTTGCTACCTGTTCTGATCCCTGGCTTGTGACCCTGACCAATCTCCGCTTGCTCCCCCTGTAATACCTACCTGCCCTATTGATATTGACCCGGCCTGCCTGACGACGCTTGCTTGTATGTACTGTTATCTGTGGGTGGTTTGGTTTGTTTGCACTGTATTATGTTTTAGTATTGCACTGCGTTTATGTTTGTATTGTTAGTGTTAATAAATTATATTGTTTATAACATATCTGAGGTCTGCGTTTCCCTGCGTCAGTCACACATCTCTGGTCACACCTGGGAGCCCTGACAGATGCTGTCTATAGGTAACATTTTGCTGTATCTAAATGATGCTTCCACCTCTTTGACTGCGGCTCTGGAGGTAAATGATGAGTTCAATAGCTTTTCAGGAATTAAGATCAACTGGGGTAAATATGTGCTATTTTCTCTATTGCTGTAAGTGTCTCTCCCAAGTGTTCCCCCCACCCCCCACCTCGGTAACCCATTTCAAGTATTTGGGGACCACTCATGTTATTTACCTGAAAATATCCACCCAGTCCTATTTGGAAAAACTCTGAAGTTGACCACCACAGGCAGGGATAATCGAATTAAAATTAACCTTCTTCTAGGAATACCATTTCCATTCCTAATTCCTTTTTATTAAGCTGGATCAGATCCTCTCCTCCTTTATCTAAGCATAATCTCCTCCCAAAGTGACTAGGTCCACCTTACAACTTCCTCTCTCTTTTGGCAGTTTGGGTCTTCCCTTCTTTTAAAAATATTATTGACCAGCTGTGCTGGTGACTGTAAGATGGTAGTTTTTCACAAACTCCCAATAATCCAGTTACTACTTTGGAAACTTTGGAAGCTACTTCGTTGGGGTGAGTTATTATTACAAACTTAGCAACTTAGTGTTTAGAGGTCATCACTCTAACTTTAAAATTACTATTCATAGAAGAAGCACTGTCCAGGTCTGGAGGCAGATGAGTGCTACTCTTGCTGAGCTGAATTCTCTATCTCCCTAC